TGGGTTCTTTGATATGCTGAATCTAACCGTGTATTTACACTTTGGACCCTGTTATCACATTGGTCCACATTGAGGTCCAAAGGGTCCAAAATTAAACTTTGTTTAAGACCACATTCATTCTGTGTCAGAAACCTATGCTATGTCAAATATTTAATCCCAATTCAAATTCAGAGCTGTATCAAGCTTGAATGTTGTTTCCATACTTGCCCCGACTGTTCAGTCTTGCGGTCGTATCAAGCTGCGCCCTGCGGAGCATTTTATTTTATTTTGTGGAGGAAACTGGATTATTCATGAGAACCACTGACCTTCTGTAAGAAAACTGTCAATAATTGTCAATTGAGAACTAAGTCATATACTGACCGACTTTAGAAACGCAACACTAGATTATTTTTTTTAATTCTCATTTTCAAATATGCAATTTTTGTTAAACAAATGTAGGAACATAAATTTCATTCATTACTTCATTGTCTACAAAAAAGTTTGCAGTTCGAAAGTTGAATTGATAACGTCATTTTTAATGTTCAAATCATGTGGTATGCACTGAAACCCCGGTTTCCCCCTTATCAATGGATGTGTCACCGTCGAAGGCAATGACTGCCTGTAACCAACGCCAAAATGATTGTCAGAAAGGTCAACCAATTCTGTTGGGCATGTTTTGAGTTCTGTTTTGTAGCTCCTGATTTTGCCTTTGTCCCACCCATTACAGTGTGTTTTGGTAATTATGCAGTTTAAACTTAGGGCTTTAAATGTTTTTCTGCAGTCGATTCTTTGGAATTTCAGTATGCGGGAAACATTTATGGCATGAATCTGTCTGCCATGGAATTCGGCGATTTGATTAGCAGTTGACATTGTGTAATCAGATTCTATTGACTTGGCCTACATATTGATCTGGTCATTAATGGTCATCAGCAAATCCCGTATGCCTGTATCGTTGTTGGAATGACAGTAAGACGAGTTTCTGACGTGAAATTGTCTGGTTACAGCACGTTCACGTTTTCCTGCCTGCAATATTCTTATGGGCTGATTCAGATTTGCATTGCTCAGTCTCGGCAATATAGAGATGCAACATTTTTTAACTGATTTAAATGTGGGTATGGATTAAAAGAATTGTTTCACGAAGTAAAAAATCCTTAAAAAATCATTTATGGGTTTCAAATTTCGCTTTAAGAAATTCGTGCGACTTCAATAATCCGGTATGTTCAATAACCTCAGGTAAGTCAGATATTGAATTTTTCAAAACAGAAAGAAGTATGGTAATCATGAATAGTAGTTATATGAGGATCAACCATGATTTGGTAAAAAAAATCAACAAAATGTGTGTTGCGTTTTTAAAGTCCGTCAGTATACCTTACTAGGAGAAGGGGAAAGAAATCTCCCAAAACTCGAGACCAAAACTGTGAAGTTAAAAAGAGCATCACCTTGGATACATAACATTCAGCATTATCTGCTACTTGAAATTCAGGGAAAGGGTTACAACTTGTTGAAGTAAGATTTAGTCTACCTCTGATCAAATATGTCTGTCATACAGGAAAGGGAGGTTTTATTAACTAGCATGATGAGTAATTTCACAGTTCCTACATGTATTTTGGCAGGTTTTCATCAACTCTCTTCATTTGCTTTGCCTCATTAGTTATCAAAAGAAACATGTTTTAAATGTAAACTACTTAAGGGATAAAATGCATTGGAAAGAAACAGGTATATATGTATATGTGTCAGTCATAAAATTGGAAAAAGTATGATTGTTTGAAGGCACTGAAAATGTATATTTTATGTGTGGTGAAGGGTTGAATTGGACTTTCTAGAAAGCTTATGGCTGTTCTGAGCTCAGATGTCTTATCAAACTTTATATGCATAGTAGGTGTCAGAAAAAAAATCTTCCAAAAGCTCCAGGTGGCATAAATGGGAACTAGGTAGACGTACATATGTCAATTGAATTGTATAAAAAAGTCCTGTTTGTTTTCTACATCAATTCAGCCAAACTGAAGCAAACATTGTAGGAATACAATTTGGAAGGTCCTTTAGATAAATATATTGTTTTTGATAATACACATGGCCATGCATAAGACGAAAAGATGTTTTAATGCCAATGTCTTCTTATTTTTTTCCCTATGAAGGATTGACTCTACAAAGCCATGCCTTTTCCAGCTTTCAAGAAATAATGATTATAAGACTCAAAAAGACACATCATTTTTGTCTCGCCTGCTTTGGAAGTCACAGAATGCGAGACATAGGGATTACATTCTGGTGGCGACGGCATAAACTATTTGCATAAAGCTTTATATATCAGAAGGTAGCAGATCTGGATGCATCATACCTTGTATGCAGATGCCTTGTGTTACAAAGTTATATTTTTATAAATGAAATTTACAACTATTATTTGTTATATATCGTTTTCAAACTCATGTTGATGTTGAAAAATTATTCTAATATGCACCAGATTTGTTGCTCTTTACTTGGTAATGTGTTTGCTGCATCTTTGTATGTCTTTGTGACAATCCTACTAATAGATTTTATACCAACTAAATTATTTCATTGATATGATAGTAAATGGTTCGATAATTTGTTCCAGTCCCGCAAGGCCTCCCAGCACGTGTGTTTTTGTCTGTATATCTCGTCTTGCTTTGAGATTAAAATACCATCTATTCCCAATAAAATGAGAAGAACAAAAACTTGAGCCACAAGGAATACAAATTTACATAAATCTATTCTATCAGATGTAGTATGTAGTAGCTTTCCGAAACTAGCTTCGTAGCGTACTTGATCTGTTTATCTCATTCGAAAATCGTTTCCAAAGTTACAGACCTCGGTACACATGCAAGAAGGGCGGAAGGAGTAAAAGCAGATATATATATGAAAACTGCCAATTTCATAAAATTTCCAAAACATTTTAAGAGTGAATCAACTGGTACAATATGTACATGTACATGATGTATACGATTACTAATTTTGAAAATCTGAAAATAATTGTTTCAAACAAAATATACATTATTTTGACCTTTTTAAATCGCCCCACACGAGTTTTTTCACCGGATTAATAGTTGCATGAGGAACACAGCAGGTGCCATCTTTGGAACAGGAAATGCTTAATACCCTTCCGGAGTACCTGATGACAGGAACAAAATTTCTAAGCTTATTTCGTTTTGCCTCAACACACAAGTGATAGACATTGAGCGGCACGACCTTTTGATATTGGTTTCTTTGAAAATTTATGTGAGGCTCAGTTATTTTTAGTTTATTATATAATACTATCTCCTCTATTTTCTTTCATTTCTATATATTCAATCTTATTAAATGAGAGAGAGAAAGGTTCTTCATTTCTGCATTCTTTAATTTTTGGACTATTTTTCTATATTATAAATTTTGCATGTTATTCTCTATTCTTAAAATTTTAGCACCCCGATATTCTCTTTTCTTTATTTTTTTGTCTAAATTTCTCTATTCTTTCTTTTTTTTAATATTAATTTTATTCTGTGCATTTTGCCCATTATTATCTTTTCTGTAAACCTTCATAAGTGAACATACTGGTCAATACATGTGTTGTTTCGGTGACATTTTAAAAATCGGATAATACATTTAGTTATGTAAATATTCGGTATGATCTAACAAAAATGTCATAACGTACTTTAAAAGGTTATTTACAGTTGAAATGAACATATTATGTATTATTAATAGCTGATGTAATCATTTCTAGCCAAATTTCATTTAAAATCTATTTTTTACTTCTAAATCTGAATAAAAGATTTAACAACAATAAAAACTTTTTATAGCTGACTATGCGGTATGGGCTTTGCTCATTGTTGAAAGCCGTACGGTGACCTATAGTTGTTAATTTCTGTGTCATTTAGTCTCTTGTGGAGAGTTGTCTCATTGGCAATCATACCACATCTTCTTTTTTTATATTTTCTTAAACTGTTATCATCACTTGATAATGTGTGTGGTAATAATGAATTGTAGTGTTTTTATTTGTACGTGCATTCATAGTTGAATGTCAGTTTTCTCTTGACAGAGTGGCTTCGACTGGAACATGATCACTCAATGCATTTCCCTTTTATATTTTCCCCTGGAGTAAGGGAGTAACCATTTGTTGTTGGTTTTATTTTTGTGGATAGGAGACGTGGTAACATTTCATGTTTTCTTCCTGAATACTCCGATTCATTCTCAATTTGGTACTTCGTAGTTTGTTGTTATTATTTTGGATGTAAGACGTATCCAATTCTTGGCCCTTCATTTTTTCTAGTTGTCTATGTTGTAAAATGTGCTCTCTTCATTTAATAAAAAAAAATGGATTTGACAACGCAAACTTTACTTCTTTTATTTTATCATGTTAATATACAAGTCCTCTACTGGTCTCGGATGACTGTATTGCATCACATGTGCGAGACGAGATTTTTTTTTATATATGTAGTGTATTACGTATATACATATATATATTTTTTTTTAAATCTAGTCTAGCACATGTATATTGCATTTGTAGATATGACCACTAATAATATATATAGGTTCCATTTTTCGTCCTTTTTTTCCATGTTGGTGATTTCATCGATCACCAAATTGGATTTATCAACGGATTTATGCTTATCGTGATCAACATTTGAATTGATGCTACTGTGGATTAAAAATTGCGTACCCTTCCAGATTTGCATCTGGGTTATGAATTTTGTTAGGGGTTCGTGTTTGTCTCTTGATCATTGTGTTGTATGCTTTGTTCGACTTCTGATTTTTTTTTATTGCTGCCTTATTATTATTTTTACTTTTTACTTTGTTATTGAACATGTTGGTATAAATAATTCTATTTACCTTGTCCATGATCGGCGACATTAGCAAAAAAAGAACTCTCAAAGGAAAGTTTCAGTGTATTGGATATTTACCATTTCGACATATATGCTATTGTACGCAAAAAGTATATGTGTTTATGCTTCGAAACGTGAATGAAAATATGATTACGCGAATAAATTGTATTGCACAAACACATGAAACTAAACACAAAAAACTACAAAATGTTTAAAAGAAAAAAGTTTACTTTAACTATAATCATGATAATATACAACTTCTAGTATATGAATATATGTACTAGTAATTAATAATTCTATAATTAGTCGCCTGCTAACTTCCAGGACTTAGTTTATCTATTAAGTTTCAAGTCTATGAACATGTAAAAATGAAAAAAAAAGCAGACATTAAACATTAAACATAAACATGAAGTAAAACTGTAATAAAAGGCTTATCCTTGAAAAAGTGGAAAAACTTGAACTTTTTTTTATCATGTGTGCACTGTACAAATTCTGGTTTGATTATGAATATTCTATGTACGTTTCAATATGATATAAAGTATATTAACCAACTAATCAACACCATAATAAGCTTTTGGGGCTACTTACAAACCCAAATAATTTCCACATGAGTTATTCCATCCAATTTGAATGTAAAACATCAAAATAAGTGCAAACACAACTTAGGTAGATGAAACATAGACATGTTAGAGAACTAATTGTGACTTTTTCTTTTATTGACTCCGTACTTGAAAGTTGAAAGAAATACCACAAATTACACAAATGTCAGACCATGCATGATGTATTACTATTTGTCATTTATACATTTGCATCAGCGGTCACGAAATTCGAAATCAATCCGACAAAGCCATCACCATGGAACACATCGCACATTAAATGGAAGCGGTCCGTGGGTAATGCCGAGACTTCCAACTGCTGTGGGTGGCTGTTCTCCCTGTGGAGGTAGGAACTTAAATTTTTGAACCATTGATGTTAAAAATAGAAACAATTCCATTCTGGCCAAAGATTCGCCCAAGCAAACACGTCTTCCTGTAAAAAAATGAAAGGAGATTTGTTTGAGAATTTTTCAGCGTCATTTATTCGTTATACATGACATCATCAATAGTAGTTTACACATGTAGATTTTTAATACTAGTAATCATGATTGATGACCAGTGCATATTTTAATTTACCATTATATTAGATTTTATATGATCATTGATGCAAAATGAAAACAACACGCTATAAATTTAATGCCTCCGAAGCGCTTTTCTGGATTTGTCTTCCATCCGGAACGCTCAAAGCCAAATATATGAAAGCCAAGGATGTATAAGAACCGAAACCACTGAAGAGCTATATGATCAAAAGGACCTAAATTTGCAAAATCCATCTAAGGTCAACTTTGCCTTTATAGTGAATTGAAACCTAGTTTCTTTTTTAATTTCAAAATTTATAAACGGACAATTTTAGAAAGGTTTTTTTTATAAATATCATGTCAGTACCTAAGTACCGATTACAGAGCTGATGATACCTTCGGGGACTGATTGTCCCCCAGCAGAGGTATCGAACCAATTGATATACGAACAAGAGAGAACAATATATTTATTATTTCATATTGATCTTTTATCAAAAATAAAAATATCCACAAGAGCTCAATGACTCAATGACATCAACTACTCCGAGTGTCATACTATACTATTAATTTCAGGGTAGGGACCTAGTACCAAACTAGTAATAATTCTACCGAAACTCTCAAATGTTAACTGGCGTCCTGAGATATAATTCTTTTGTTGCAATAAAATAATAAATGGTTGGTGAAGTTTTTTAAAAAGCTTAAACTTGTTAGTTCGAAGTCCACTGTTATAATATTTGGTAAAAAAAAATCGTATTAAGAATTTTTTCATTTCATATTAGGGCATTGCACGTTAAGCAATCTTAAACAATGCGACTTATATTTGCAGTGGTTTTGGTCGCTACATTCAATGACATATTCAGATTGCACCATTTTTTTCTCGGGTTCCACAGAGCAGAGTCTGTAGAAGTCCGTTAGAGTCGGATAGAGTTAAAAGGCCTAATATTGGTTTATTTGATTTAATAGTAATATAATGATATACTTATAATGTGATTTTTTATAAATATTAATAAGTGTACGTCAATTATCAACGGTATGCGTGGGTTTATGATACAATAACCCCGAATACCGGACTTCCCGATCACCGGTTATGGCGACCTTAGAGTTTGGTAAAGTTTTGTTGCTTAAAACAAGTATATATAGCTCTGATGTGAATATTCATAAAATTAAAAAAAAAAAACAAACCCAAAACACGTGATTTCATCATAGGTGCTTGAAGACAGGACTCTCTTTTGAGTCCCCATAGTCCCTCTCCCTTCATTATCATAAAACCTCGATTTTTGTATTAATTACACCTTATATAAGAATGCCGCGGTACTATGATAGTCTCTACTTATCCTCAAAATTATGCATAAAAATGTTTATGGATTACAGCTTACTAGTAAAAAAACAAATTTCACATCACCTGCATGTCCTGTGCAGAGAGTTTAAATCAAAATCTATTCGGTGTAATTAAACAGATATGTCATGTTATGGAGGGGTATTTGCGAAAAATACCAGTCTCGGGACCAAATTTCCCTCGCCTAGTGGCTCGGGAAATTTTACAGTCCCTTGACTGGTATTTTTCGCAAATACCCCTTCATAAAATGATATATCTGTTCAATATCACTTTAAAATTTGTACCATATGTATACCAATATACCATATTTTTACTCTAATTATGTAAGTTTAATATCAACGTGCCACTCGACTATCTAGCGCTATCGGTACAAATAATCTAGGATTTATGATAATGACGTGGGAGGGACTAAGGGGGGCTCAAAACAGGGTCCTGTCCTCAAGCACCTATGGATTTCATGTACGATCCTTTGTAAAGAGGACATACCTAAAGAAAATGGCATGATCTTATCCTGATTACAGTACTTTCCCTCGTTGTTAATGAATCTTGTAGGGTCAAACTTTTCTGGATTAGGAAAGTTGTTCTCGTCATTCTGGACAGAATCAAGCACAGGAATAACAATCGCTCCCTTCGGTATTCGTCGATTCTCCAGAACGAGATCCTCTGTGGCCATGTGGAACAGAGACAAAGGAACTATATTCCCCAATCTCTGGGTTTCAGTAATCACAGCATTACAGTATGGTAAATCAGTTTTGTCGGACAGAGTTGCCTGTCGATTTGATCCGACGACGTTTTCGATTTCTTCGTGCATTTTTTCTTGTATATCCATATTTTGCATCAGGAATAATACTGCCCATGTAATTGTCGTGGAAGTTGTCTCTGTTCCTGCGGCAAACAAGTCCAGTATGGTAAACTGCAGCTGGTCATCTATAAAAGATAATTTTGATATGTCTTCTATAATTGAAAAAATAAAATCTTTTTGTGTGGTTAACATGAAGTATGCATTCGATTTTATATCGGTTATATACGTGGAGTGTAAACTGAAAAATATGATAGCGCTTACCCTTTATGTCATATTTCTAGTTGATACTTTGTCAAATGAATATTTGTTTGTTTCATATATTGCCTCACGTGCACATGGATAGGATCTAAAGAATGAACACCTCCCTGTACTATTTTGTATGTACTGGTACTCATAATACACAGACAGAAAAAGGGATGAAATATTGCTATTTGTTCAAGGGATTCGATTGCACTTTATGCAACCTTTACACAATAGACAATAATCAAACCAATCCTCACGACTACAAACCTTCAAAATCAGTTCCCTCCTCCTCTTTGTGCTTCATCTCTTCTAACAAGAAAGCGTCAATAAAATCTCTTGCGTCGTTTTCATCCAATGTCTGCTTGTGTTCTTCTATTTCTTCTTTAACAGCTTGCTCCAGTATGGCTTTGTTCTTAAACGAACGGTTAATGAGGAACATATCACCAGGAACGTACTGTAGAAATGGAAGCATATCAACAAGTGGTGCATACGGATTTGAAATTTCCTCTCCAACAAGGTTCACCGCTTGAGTAAAACCTTCATCATCGTAACTGAAGGTCTTACCTACAGTTATAGAACATATAACATTAGACACACTTCTGTTGATTAGTCCAGCAAGTCCCATAGGTTTCCCATTTTCCTTTTCTAAAATTTCAATAAAATTTTTATTTTCTTCTAAAATCTTGGTTTCCATACTTCTCTTGCCAAAACCAAATGCTCTCAGAGCTGCCAGAGCGAAAGTCCTTTGTCCCTTCCATCGATGTCCATTGGAGGATACAATTCCTGAAAATATAGTAAAAAGCTCAATACATGGGGAAAATTTATACGACAAAAACCGCATCCGCTAGCACGTATTTGCAGTTCTTATTTTTATTGTCATGCCGAATCTGAAATTTAATCCAAAATTAAACGTAGTCTTTAACAGAAATAAAACAAAATTAATATACATTGTATCAAATCAAATTTAGCATGCGTAAGTTAACTTGAAGGGTGCTTAAATCTCGGACATGTCATTAACAATGATAAAAATGATCGAATGTTTGAATACATATTCATAAACAGGACATTCAAATCGTTCAACTTCATGCAACATTTTTGTTTGTTTTACAATAAAACCACACTACGCCATTTTGTTTTCATTAACAGCTGATTCTTCTTTCACAGGTCTCCACAAGAATGCTAAGTTATAAATAAAAGGATATATGAAGATAAACGCCAATGAGACAGCAACCGAACAGCAAAAACAACCAAAGACGTCTAGGTTGAAACATGCATACAGTCTTCAACAACAGACATTTGTCCATAAAATATATCAAGCTCTATTGAAATCAAGAAATCGTCCTGAACTATAAGTTGTAAAAGTTGTGATGTTAAATGACAAAAAACAATAAAAGATCTGTCATCAACACCAAATTCTCAAACTAAAAAATCATCCATTAAGGTATGACATACACGGGTCGCCTCTTCTAGCTTAGATTTACGCTTAATTTACGTATACTGACGGAAATCATTACGAGCTTCCGAAAGAAAGGAACATCTTTTCTAATTGCTTAGACAAAAACCGCCGCGACGAGCACATCATATTAAACAGTGATTACAAAGTTCAAATAGTAATTTAAATATTACGTTTCTAAGAAACAATCATGTATACTGTACAAATATAGTCGATATTTAGTTGTGTAATAAAATGACCAATAGCAGGATAATAAAATTATATCCAGGTATTCAACTTACCTCGCCGTTCTGACAACACCTTTATGCTGAAAGTATCTGGTCTGTCTGATAAAACGTCGGCATTTTTAACAAACGCCTCTTTGAGAAGATCATAACCATTGACAAATACAATCCAATAAGGTCCAAGAGACAAGCTGTACAAATCACCATATTGTTTTCTCAAATTTCTCGAAACTTTCAATAAATCTCCTCCGAATAAAGCAGGAATATTTCCAATCAGTGGAAGAGGCGTTGGTCCCGGGGGTAAATCGCCAGGTCTCTTAGATCGGATCCATAGGAAAGTTAAAAGAACTATTAAAATCACCAATGTCAAACTTACTCCGTCCATTTTTTTTTCTATCTGCTTTCTTGCAGTAATAAATTCAGCACAATATTTTACAAAATATTTAATATTCTTTTCCACGCATTTAGCTCAATTGAGGCTCGCGAAATTCCTTTGTTTGCAAGCTATTTTGTAAACAAAACTTGTAGGTCAATGAACACTAATGTGACCGACCACTCGATGTCAGCATGTAGTGGTCATTTAATACGGTCAGCTGGATATAATAATATCAAGGTCAAATATTTATGTCATTATGTAATGCCAGTCATGGTACACACACATCTGGACATAACTTTATCTACGACGTCGATCGTGTGAAACATAAGTAGCTGCCTTTTCATTGTTTGCTACTTATATTATATTAAGAACAGAAAGATAAATATCGTTTGATGAAATTAAATCAAAACAGATTAAATAGTTATGTGAATAAGAATTAAAAGAAAATCTCCAAACAAGAGGAACGACTAAACTATCGCATAATGATAATTATCGATCTTATCGTTGCAGAAGAAAACATTTATAAATATTTTTTTTAATCAATTTCTTATCACATTTGTCCCATGCTGAATTTTCATTTTATAATAACCTAATAAATGTTTTATACAACTATTTTAGATTGTATATGTTAATTTGAGGCGAGACATATTGTCTAGCATTTAAGAAAAGAAAAACAAAAACAAAAACAAAAATATTTTGTTTGTTCATATTTTTTGAAAATGTTAAATATTTATAATTTCTATTTATGAAATTTCATGTTATTGATATCAATCTGCATGATTGTCTGGGTTTTACACTACTAATAGATATCTTATCTGATCTTTTACTTATCTGTTAAAAGAAAACTGTAAAAAGTTGTTTCACATGTATAGTCGAGATTGGTAAGCACTTCACAGTAATAGTGTCTGGGTAGTAAAGTAAAATGGTTCAGGATCAAAGTTTTTTCTTTCTATCTTAATTTGTTTATTTGTTTATTTATTTTTTTGTTGTTGTTGTTTTTTTTTTTGGGAGGAGGGGGTGTGTGGCCGGGAAAGGGTATTTGAATACTTCATTGAATGGCTGTAACTGTAAAGTAAGGGGGTTAACAGTATCCCTGTTTGAATGTGTGGAATGTTTGTTTCATTTCTTACCTAAACGTTTTTCATAATAAAAAAAATAACCTACAAAATGCAAAAACCACCCGGGACACCCCGTCTCTTCAGTGATGTTAGGAATCGAAACGGTATTTGGAAGGCCATATAATTTACATCAATTTAGGATAGACTCTCTATCTCTATATATATATATTAGTCTAAAGATTGGGATTCCGTTGTGCAAATCTTTAGACATATATTTTTTTCCTTATCTGCGCTGTATCTAGATAGATATAAGAAGATGTGGTATGAGTGCCAATGAGACAACTCTCCATCCAAGTCACAATTTGTAAAAGTAAACCATTATAGGTCAAAGAACGACCTTCAACACGGAGCCTTGGCTCACACCGGACAGCAAGCTATAAAGGGCCCCAAAAATGACTAGTGAAAAGTGAAAAAACCATTCAAACAGGTCTATTCTAGACGATCCGGTACATATTAAATTTGCTGGTTGGTCCTTTTTATAGACTTCAATATATATATATATATATATATACAAGTCTAAATTGAAAACAACGTTCTATATATTGTTTTGCATGCACACGAATAAAAATTGCGGTTTTTATCCAACGCAATCATAGGTTTGAACGTTGTTTTCAATTTAGACTTGTTTATATTTTTTCGTTTAGGCTTGTATTATATTTGCCTTCGGGTTTATATGATCCGTTCATCCTATTTCGACTCTTCAAAATTCAGGAGTCAATCCCAAATTGAGGTAAATTATATGGCCTTCCAAATACCGTTTCGATTCCTAACATCACTGAAGAGACATTAATTGTCGAAATCCGGATATGGTGTACAAATTATTGCACCTCATGTTTGCGGTATACCATCTTTTCCGCAAGTTTATTGTTTTCTGTTTGGTATTTAATTAATATAATTAAGATCCATTGTGTTACATCTGTGATCCGTTTATTTGGCAATCGCCATGGCAGTCAGCAGGGTTTAAGAACATCCGTTGTTCGACCTGCTAGTCAAATGCGTTTTGTTAAAATATACTTTTTCACTTTTTTGGTCTTTTGGAAAATGTTGTTTGTGCTGTATTTAGACCCCTCTACAAAGAAATTTGTTTTGCATGCACACGAATAAAAATTGCGGTTTTTATCCAACGCAATCATAGGTTTGAACGTTGTTTTCAATTTAGACTTGTACATATATATTTATATATATATACATATCGTTTTATTAACACAATTTTACATATAAATGATAAAGAATTGTTCTAATGTTAACAGAAACATATGGTTTCAATATGTGAACCTACTCTTCTATTTTCAATGTTATACGCATACTAAGGAAAAGTCTGAGGTCACACATTTAGCTATATGTTAGCGCTAGAATTTCAATTTCGTTGCGTTCAAATTTTGTCTTCATTTTAATCTTGATGCATGTACATTCGGGAATGTGCTTTACCATACTAATTGTCTATCCTCAGTGATTAAATATACGGAAATTGTCACAAATATGCCTTCTTTTATTACCAGTCAACAAATCGTACAGAATAAGGTATCGGCGAATGTGTTGTTCCTACTTTTCCTACTATGTTGGGCGGTAGCTGTCCTACAGGTATGATTTTGTACCGAGTTACTATTGCTGTCAAAAATAAAAATAACTCCATTCTCGCTAGAGACTCGCCTAGACAAACCCGTCTACCTGCAAGGATAAACATCATCAATAGAAATTTTGTATAGCTATAGATTATACAAATATTTCTCATTGAACTTTATGAAGTTTGATTGGTACTATATGTAAGTAGTCTTACAAAAGTTTGACCAAACAATATATATATATATTTTTAGACAATTGCGCACTCTCCGGTCTTTTATGCCTTAGCCAACGATAACTATGATAGCTTAAATCCGTCAACAAAAAATCATAAATATGTTTAATTCCTGTATATATAAGATAAAAAAAGAAACAGCTCCATCCTAGGTAGAACCTCGCCTACAGTTTAAAAATAAAAATAAGTTCATTCATTTGAATCTGGGTTGTGCGTCAATAAGGCATCACCTCAACGACGCAAAGATCAAACTCGCTCATATATTCACCAGTCGTAATGCAATATTTACTCTAGCACAAGTTATGATTTTGTATTTGTGGTGATGCAAAGAAAGACAACCCAAGAGTTAAAAGTAAACAAAAAGTTTTGTAAGTTTGCCTAATACTCAACAAAGTTAGTTTGCTTCTTGGGACGGATCTTATATTGTTTATTGCTAATATCCGTCTACTAATTACATTATTAGTAAAAGGCTTCATTAATAATTTTTGTATAATTTGTTTATGCCTCCGTACGTTTAATATTTTTATAAATAAATATTGATTTGACTCTGGAGATCGTCTTGGTCTTCCTCGAATTGCCATCATTAAAAACTCCAAGATTTCTCCAGAACAACACAAATAGATGTTCTATTCAGATGAAATATATTATAAGCTATTTAGATGGGTTTCTTGACCAATGGGATTGTTGTCTTAGATATATATTTACGTCACATCCTTTGTCCACTGGCAAATATTACATGCATTTCATGTAGAGAACATATTAATGTGATATAACATCAACCCTGTTTTGTATTAGAATGACACGCTGAACTGAATTTGTAACGTGTTAGTTTACAGAATAAGAGTCTGCAGAAACACATGTCCAGTTTCGTTATTGATTTGTTTTTAGTATTGTTTCAGTACTTATTTCAGTAACTATTTTTGATATCGATTTAGTACTGTCTGTTTCTTTTCTGAATTAACACTGAAAAAAATGAACAAAAAATAGTAGCACTTAAAAACAATTGCAATATACACTAGTACAAAACAGTGATGACAAAAGTCAGTCTTAAAACATAACTAAAAAAAACAAAAAACAAATCGGTATTCAGTATTGAAAAAGGTTAGTAGTTGTACTTAATTAACATTGAGGTAGTACTGATATATAGTACTGAAAAATACGTATAGGAACAATGTAATGAAACTACAACAAAATGACAATAGAATTAAGCTAATAAAAGTGTCAATCTTTGGGGGAGGGGTGGGGGTCCGCTTTTCTCCTTCTATGTAGTAACGGAATCGGCAGAGTGGATCCGAGTGTAAAAGTGAAAACAGTACGGAAGAAACAGAAAATAACATAACATGTCTTTTACATAACAGTACTGTACAATCTACATCAGACTGCAAGTTTAGTCTTTGTATTGTAGTCTATCGTGGGTTTTTTGTTGTTGCGATATTTCGCTGTTGATTCATCAACACGTTTCCGTCTTTTGCTTTCTTTAATATCCTTAAATATAAGCATCATTTATAACACATTGCTTAATTGGTGTGTTTCATAAAGACAATATCAGGTTTTAGAATGATTATGCAATTATATATTATAAAGGAACATACCAAGGGAAAATGGCATAACATTCTCTCTCCTTTCGTTGAACTTTCCATTTTCATCTAAATATCTGCTTGGATCAAAACTATTGAAATCTAGAAACATATTCTCATCATGGAAGGTTGCGTTCATGTTGGGAACCACAATAGACCCTTTTGGTATTCTGTAATTATTTATCACATAATCTTCAGTGGCCGTATGAGGGAGAGAAAAGGGTATGATATTACCAAGACGTAATGTCTCGGTTATAACACTCTCACAGTACGGTAGGTTGTTTCTATCGGTAAGCAACGGCTGACGATTGGAACCAACAACTTCCGTCAATTCATTGCGCATCTTCTGTTGAACATCCGGGTTATTAACAAGAAAAATAATTGCCCATAGGATACCACTTGATGTCGTGTCAGTTCCAGCAGCAAATAGATCTAGTACAACGCCCTCTAGGTTGTCCTCTGTTTAAATATACATAATAAATATTAATTGTTATGATTGTATTTACAAATGATATCCTGGGCCCACTCCCATTTTAATTTATGACTTGTGTTTAACTCTAGAAAAGACATGAACTTTGTATTGAGTTATGGATCTAATCAAACGTTTCATAAAACAAATCAAAATATATATTTTATTTTTTTGCCGAAATGATTTAATTGTT